GTCCCAGCCCACACAGACCCCACGAGGCCGAGGCCGGCAGGAGGACCTGCGAACAGAGGGAGAGCTGGTGCCGTGGTCGGGGGCTCAGCCGCCACACGGATGTAACCGGAGACTTGGGGTCTTTCTGGGCCCCGGGAGCTTCCCGGCTGTGCTGGGGTTGAAGGCCGTGCGTGTGCGTGTGCGTGCGTGTGTGTGTGTGTGTGCACGCGCCTGTCCGCCTGTCCCAACACGCCCTGCTGCCTGCGGTGAGCCGGGGCTCGCACACCTGGGCGTGTACAAGCGCTGGCTCGGCCGGAGTCCCGCAGCCGCTCACCTGGCCGTGGAGGCCTGCCGTGCGCTCAGCACTGCGTCTGCGCAGTGAGGGGAATGAATGAAAGCTCCAGGCCGCTTACTTCTGAGAGAGAGCGGTGAGGGCCGCCGGGAGGAGGCCGCCCGCCTGGCCTGTGCACGTGACCTGCTTGCTGACTTGGCTGCGGTCCATCTGCCACTGGACTTTCGGCTCCAGAAGGTGGGGCGTCTGTTTGTTCTGTTCACCGCCGTGTCCCCAGCGCCTGGAACCGAGTCCGGCCCATGACAGGTGCTCAGTGGATATCAGCGCACAGCTGGAGGTCTAGAGATAAGGGCTTGCCCTTGGGGCTCCGTAGATATGGTAGGAGTTCGGTAGTTGTCTGAAAGCAGGGGCTGTGCAGGGGCGAGTGCAGAGGGCGGAGGGGCGGCCATGTGACCATGGAGGCGGATATTGGAGTGATGCGGCCACAAGCTAAGGGCTGCGTGGAGCCACCGGGAGCTGGAGGGACAGGGACCAGCATCTGCCAGCCTCCGGCGGGCACACCGGGCGATGTCCGGCCCCCAGGGCTGTGGGGATAAACGTGTGTTTCCAAGCTGCCCGGTGTGTGGTCATTTGTTACGGCAGAACCAGGAAGTAGTGCAGGCTTCCACCTGGTGGGTGTGGCTCAGTAGATACTGGCTGAGGGAGCAGCTGAGGGAGCAGCTGAGGGGGCTGTGGGGGGGGGTGTGTGTGTGCACCTGAGTGTGGGCACCTGAGTGTGGGCATATACTGGCTGAGGGAGCAGCTGAGGGAGCAGCTGAGGGAGCAGCTGAGGGGGTGTGTGCACCTGAGTGTGGGCACCTGAGTGTGGGCACCTGAGTGTGGGCACGAGCCCTTCCTTGTGCCCGTGTCTGTGCCTTCAGCACCCACCTCCACTCTGACCCCTCCGTGCCTCTGGGCAAGGTGGTGGCTGGGAGGGGCGTCCCCCCAGGAAGCAGTGAGCTGCCCGCCGGCCGCGGAGGGGCCGGGAGGACCCGCAGGGAGAGACCACCCCCTCCGTCCGTCCGGTGAGACCCTCTGCAGCCGGAGGGGACATCCTGGCCCCGGGTCCCTTTGTTCGTCTCAGTCCTTCCTGCTACAGGGGAGCCGCTTCCTCTGGGCCTGGCGGAGGGAGAGGCCGTGAGGAGCCACAGGAGC